GATCCCCGCCCCACCAATTAATATAAAAAAATAAATTTTTTATATATAATTAATTAATATTTAATTATAATGAATAAAATTTTAAAAATTCAAGTGTAATTAATTAAAATTTTTTAAATATAAATCCAAATATAAATTGTTTAAATATAAATAAAGATCAATCTAACATAAATAATTAAAAAATTAATAATGATTTGGATAAAATTGAGTTAAGTTTAAATTTTATTGAATTGAGTTTGAGTTTAAAAGTTGAATTAAATTTAAAATAAAATTAATTTACATAGTTTTTTTAAATTTTTTGCGGGGATTGGGATCCTCACAAGGCCACGTAAGGTGAGAAAAATTCCCTGTGAATTTTCATAAAGAGAAAATGCCTCTCGTCCTTGTCCCATGGGAAGAAATATTTTTTTTCGTCCATCTCCGTGGTGGTCCCGTGAGATCGAAGCAAATTGCCATCTCGAGGTGGAGGTTGTGGCCGTTATTGGATTGGGTTGGAAAAGGGGTGGTGGCCGTGAGGTTGGTTTCCTGTGGTGGTTGCGGTGGTTTGTTGGGTGTGGGGTGTGGGGGGGGGGGGGGGGGCAAAAGAGTTTATTTGTGTTGGTGGCTAGTTGATGAGGCAGTTTCGGAGCGTTTCTTTTCTCCTTTAAAATTTCTCATCACTTCAGGCGGCAGTTAAGATGATTGGCTCTGGGATGGTAGGGTCAGACTATACTGTGGCAAACAATGTTCTGCGAGTTACGGTAGTCGGAGGTGGTTTAGGAGTGGTGCCGTGGGCTGATGATGTGGTGGCTATGGTGAGGGGTCCGCAGCCTACGGAGATGGACACATTGACAGAAATCTCCAAGATTGTTCAGATTCTACTTATTGAAATGATGGTAGTGATGAGACGGATAGTGGTGGAGGACTGGTGGCGGACGACAGCAGAGTCTCCACCATGAAAGGCAATGGATTAGGGTTGTCTCTTTCAATCCAATTTTTTCGGGCAGTATGTGGTTGCTACGGGATTCTTTGAAGATTTTTGACCAAAAAATCAGGAATTTTGGAGTTTAAATGTGACTTGCTAAAAATTAGTTCATTGATTTGGGAAGTAGGAGTAAAAGTGAGGAGAAAAGGTGTAAATAAGATGTATACTTTATATTATTTTTTCTATTTAAGGTTAAGAATGTTAATTTTATTAGTTTTTAAATAAAAATAGTAATTTTTAATTTTAAAAATTTTTTAAATTAATTTTTTTAAAAATATTAATTTTTAATTTTTATATTTA